TAATTTTATTTCTTAGTTGTGTTATAATAAGTCTTATTCCATTGTATAATCCAATGGATTGATTTAGATTTCTTAACAACACGATTGGTGTTCTAACTTTAAGATTTAATTCATGTGGTGGTATACCGTTAAAATTTAAGGTGTGTAAAAATTCTTCAAGATATAAAAGATTACGTTCATCTATGTTTTTTAAGGATGACATAATTGTGTCATAACTGTAGTAAGTTTTTAATTCAGTTGGTACTAAAGATAGCATATGATTATTAATATCGTCAGCTGTTTTATTTTTGGGCGTTACTATTGCACGTTGTTTCAAATATTCAATATCATTAAAGTAATAATTAAAGTTATCATAAATTAATGATGAAATTTTTTCAATTGGATCTGATTCATAATGTACTATATATTTTTTTGGTATTTTTATCCAAGAGCATCTTCATTTTCTAGGTCAAGAGGAAGAAGAAGAAAAAGAAAAAAAAGAAAAACATTTAAATCATTTTACTCAATATGAGTAAGGGGCATTTCTTGTCAACAAATTTTGGACCGACTACAGAGAGGTCAAGAGATCAAATTTAATTGTAAGTATCATTGTCATATACAAAACCAAGGGTTAAATATATTAAGCAAAAATGTGTACAGATATATGCGTATGTGATAATGAAGAAAATATGGGCAAGAGTTAGTGAAAGTACCTGTAACGAATATTGGCTGAAATAGTGAGTATGAGCCAATGAAACAGAAATCAGGTAGAGCCAACTTAAAAGAATGAGTAGTAAATATGCCAAGATGAAACGAAAAAGCCAAAAAGCAAAAAATGTTGGAGCAAGTAAAAAGGGAGAAGAAAGATGATATGAAGACAGTTTCCTAATAAGAATAGAACAATAAAGAATCAAAACTAAGATAAAATCTTGACACCCACAGGAAAAAAGGACCAATACACCAAACTAAGTTAAAGTCATCAAAAAATTAGGATGAAATAAGTGGTACTGAAATCAACCTGGAAGCTAAATTCAGTTGGTGGATTTACCTGTAGATGGAGCAACGTTCACTTACACAAACAACCAAGAATGCCTTTCTCTTTCTAAGTTGGACAGGTCTCAATTCTCGGCTTTAGAGGGAATAGGAAAAGGAAGTGAGATAAACCCAATCACAGTTGTTTTGGGATTGTTTATATATAGTTCAAGACGTCAAAATCCATCCCAATCATAATTACGATATAAAGAAAAGAGAATAAAAGAAAAAAGTAGACATAGATTAACAAATAGTGAATGGCTATAGGCAAAGGTTATAAGTCATACATAGAGCACTATAAACGCTGCCTTAAATATGAAATAGCAACCAGTCAAAAATCAGCAAAGAAAGTGAGTAAATACAAAGGCAGGAAGTTGGAGTAGTAAATGAGTAGGATTAAAGCAGAGTAATAAATGATCGAAGATGAAATGCAAAGGATTAAAAGTCAAGCGCAAGGGAGAAGAACAAGAATAGAAAAAGCAATCAATGATTGAGAATGTAGCAGAGTAGTAAATAACGTGAGATGAAATATGGAGACAAAGCAAAGTCACCGGGAGAGCAAGGGACAGATAGATAACAAAATGTTGATATAGCAGTAGCATTTATAAAGAGTAAATGAGGAAAAAAATTTCATCAGTACATGATTTATAAGAGGACACGTAGCAAAACAAAGTCGGTCTGTAAGAATTAAGGAAGTAAGATTGCTTAATCAGGTGGCAGAAGCAACGTACGGGTATACTAAGCAAAAACCAAATAATAGATAAATAATAATGAGTTCAGGAAACAGAAAAAGGGCAAAAAAAGGAAAAAAAAACAAACAAAAAGGAAAAGTTTTCAATTTTTTTTTTCAGATTTTTCACAAATTTCAGGAATTAACTAACGATAAAAAAAAAAAAGAAACAGTTCATTTAATGCCTCTGCAATAATATGGGTACAGATCATTAACTTAAGTAGTTAATGTGTCTGCAACAATTTGGGTACAGATCATCAATTTAGGCAGCCAAATCAGCAGTCTACATATCACAGATCAATAAATTAATGAATCTAGAGCAAAAGAATCTATGTTTAAGGTACAGATCATCAACCTAAGTAAATGCGTCTGCAACAACTTGGGTACAAATCATCAACCTAGGTAGCCAAATCAGCAGTCTAAATATCACAGATCAAGACATTAATCAATCCAAAACAAAAAAAATCGGTACTTACCTGTATATCAGGTGAAGTCAGCAACAAAGAATATCAAAAGACGCTCATAGAACCTTCTTTCTGCACAAATTTATCTCCTGAAATAGATCAATGACAAAAGTGAACAGCAAACAAAAAGAAAGGAAAAACCACCAAAATAAAAGCAAAAAAAAAAAAATTATCTCTTGAAGCATGGCAAGGACAAAAGAAACCAGCCATTGAAACAAAAACCAAAAAAAGAAAAAAAAATGAAAAGAAAAAAACATAAACATTGAGTCGACCAAAAATAGAGGGAAAAGTAAATTAAATGAGCAAATCAAACCAACAAAGACAAAACCCAACCAAAAAAAGGAAAAAAAAAAAAGAGGAAAAGGCAGAAATGAGCAGAACATGGACTCGACAAAAAAATAAAGGGGAAACTCGACAAAAAAATAAAGGGGAAACCAAACTAAATGAGCAAATCAGACCAAGAAAAAAACATGCAAGAAAAATTTTCAAAAAACCTGCAGCAAAACGAAGTAAAAAAGCATCCAAAAATCAGGCGAAAACAGCAAAACGAAGTAAAATAGCATCCAAAAATCAAGCCAAAATCCCACAAGAAAAAAATCAAAGAACCCACAACAAATATCACATAAACCATGGATGTTCACTTGTGGCCAAATGGAATCAAAGAACCAGCCACAATCACCAAATCAAGAGAGAAGCAATTGGGGCGGAAAAAAAATGAAGAAGACACAAAGATGAGGAAACGATAGAAGGCTCCAGAAGACAACGATAGAAGGCTCCAGAAGACACATGCGCCATTCACTTCACCGATTCGAATTTAAAATTCGAGTTTTATTACAGTAAAAAACTCTCAGAAATGATCACATCTAACTTTTTTACTATAGTAAAAAGGTATAATATAAAATTACATCTCAACTTAAATTAAAAACTCGAATCAGCGAACTAAACGGGACCAAAAACAAGGAGAGAGAAGGCAGAAAAAATCAACATTAAAAATTCAATGGCAAAAATGCCCCTCGAACTAAGCCAGACAATGAGGAAAAATCAAGGGCAAAAACGTAAAATAACATAACAGGACACAATGGGCATTAAAAAAATTAAGCGTCAAAAAGTAAGGACAAAGCCGGGAATTACTGTTCATTTACTGTACGATGAATAACTTATAAAAATATATAAAATTTTTTCTAATTAATGAATATAAAAATATTATTTGTATATTCGAATATAGAATATTCTTGCATTTGGATTAAATCACACATGTTTTTTTTTTCTCGAACAAAAAAAAAAAGAAAAATTTCTAGTATTTCCTCCTTTTTAAGAACATCTGTATTTTTTATTTATCAGTTGTCGAATATGTATTAATTTTTTAATCTTATTTGACTTTTGATCAGATGTAATACAAATTTAACAGTTGATAAACAGGAAACACCGGTACTCCTAAATAAGAGAGAACACAAGAGAAAGTCCTAAAAAAATCACACATATTTTTTCTTATTATTTTGAGACTTTTTTTAGTAGTCTTTGTAAAAATAGACTATTAGTACTCTCTATAAAAATAGACTACTGGTAGTCACTTATTTTTCAGTCATCAGATTTGTATCAAAATAAAAGTATTTTTACAGAACTTCTTATAAAAATAGACTACTGTTAGTTTTTTCTTTTTTAGCTGTCAGATCTATATCAAAATAGAATATGTCAATTAAGTATATTTTTTTAATCTAATGTGATTTTAACTAAATCTAATGGTTAAAAATTAAGACTACTGATAAAAGGACGATCGGAGAAACTCTTTCTTTATTATTCCTTTCCATTTTTTTAATCTTTTAGAGATTGAGATTCTAAAAGAAAAAATGATGAAAATGACATGTCAATCTTGAACGTTTCTACCTAGGGCCGGTAATATGAGTCACGACATGACAATACGACTCAAAAATTACACAAATTTCGCAGGTTAGAGTTGAGAAAAAAGAAGTTTGGGTCAGAATTGAGACGGCCTGAAATTGACACGAAAAACATGAGTCACTTTCGGATTGAACCTGCCTAACTCGAACACGATACGAAACTCGTAAAAACTAAAAAAATATATATATATATATATTTATTACATATTTTAGATTTTGTTATGAACTTGTGATATCATGATAGTTATACTCAAAATGTTATATTATTACTTGCTTAATTTTGATAGATGATATTGTATTTTAGCATGTTATAAATTTTAAGTTAATTATAATATGTAAAAAACTAAAGAAAAATATATTATTTTCATGTCAATTTTAGGTTCACAGGTGAGTTTTGTGTTACGGGTCATTTTTGTGTCGTGTCCTGTCAACCCGTAAAGTGATTGTGTTATGTTCATATTGCAATTTTTAAAAAAATTTGTATTACGAGTTGTGTTCAGATTAACTATAAATTCAACAAAAAAAAATAATTAAAGTACGACACGTTACACGAATTATCACTCTTATTCATACCCACCATAGTCCATAGGCCACGTCGTCCATCCAAATAGGGGCCACGTTTATCCAATATGACTCGCCAACGTGTACATTCCTCGTTTGTACTACCAACTGATATTTATCTATCGTTATTATCCCACACAAAAATAAAAATAATATTGGAAACAAACATCATCCAAAAATTTTCTATTTTAGTGAAAACGACGTATGACATCACACGAAACACAGTTCGATTCCCTTTCTTTTTCACCCTAGCTCCGTTTCCAGTTTACAAAACACAAACAAAAACAACAACCAAACTCTACCGCTGATCATCATTCATCATTCATCATTCATCAATCAGTTAATCTCATTGCTTCTCTCTCCTCCCGCTTCCCCTATTCTCTCTCTCTCTCTCTAAAACTTGTGTGAAATTGTGGTTATGGCGGCGAGGATTGAGCGCGGAGATCTATGGAAGAACAAGGCCCGGTCTTTGCAGCTCCGGCTCAGGGACCGGTTCCGTGTGGTGGTCGACCGGAGGCTCCGCCGCCACCGGATCTTCTCCTCCGACGGTTGCTTCTCCTCCACGCTTCAGCGCTGGATGCAGCGCTTCCGTGACTTCCGTACGGACTCTCTCCCTTCCTCCTCTGCCTTCTACCGCAAACGAGGTAACATTTCTTTTTTCCTCTCTTCTTTCTCTGTTTTGTGAATGAGTGATTTTTTCTAGCTGTTTCCATGATTTCTCGGTGTCATTAGTTATTTTGATGTTTTTTTTTTAATGATCTTGAACAATATGTGTGGTTTAATTAAGAAGCAACCATCATTTGCTAGCGTAGTGACTCTGATCGTAAATAATGCAAGCAATAAGGTTTTCTTATTATAATGGGGATTTTCAGTATGGGGGTTTTTTTTTTTTAATTAAATTCATATTTGTGTTATTTTTTTGGGGGCTTCTAGAATATATTGTCTTTTTATTGGTGACCGTGGCTGGTTTGTGCTTAGATACGTGAGAATTTAGATTGGATTTTGGAAGAAGATTTTGTTTTTGTTAACGGTTTAGCTCTGTGATGTCAGTGAGTAAGAACTTCAGTGCCGAGGAAGATTCGGTTATTCTTCGAATGCTTCAAGCTGTTGCTGTTCCTGTTATTGGGAATGTTTGCCATGTATTTATGCATGGATTAAATCGTATTCAGGTATGTCTAGATAAATTGTTTGATTGTTGCGTCTTCGAAACTTTTTAGGCATTTCAAGATTTGGCAGAAAGAAGGCAAGAATTAAATTGAATTATTGGATTGGCAGGTCTATGGGGTAGAGAAATTACATGAGGCATTGCTAGATAGATCCAAGGACAAGCCTCTTCTGACTGTATAGCACTGTACTTGTCGACTTTCATTTTGTTTTTTCATGTGTAATTGTTCATGATTAAATAGATAAATTTTTTTTCTTTGCATTCAGGTGAGCAACCATGTTGCTTCTGTGGATGATCCTTTTGTTATTGCTGCTTTGCTTCCTCCGCGTGTTCTTTTTGATGCTCAGAACGTGAGATGGACCATTTGTGCAACTGATCGGTGCTTTAAAAATCCTGTAACTTCTGCATTCTTTCGATCGGTCAAAGTCTTGCCAGTTTCTCGTGGTGATGGGATTTATCAGAAGGTATTACTGCAACAATTTTTTAATGGTTTGTTCAGAGACTTAGTTGTTGAAAATGTGGTAAAGATGACCATGACTTAGCAAAGCATTTACAGAAGTTTATGGTTTGATTATTTTTCTGGCTTTAATTTATTTACCCAATTTAAATTCATCACTTATGATCAAAAGCTTGAAAACCGTCATAATTGAATATTAGAGGGTAAATAATATCATTTACCGTAGCCATATTTCCCCCTTCCTGGTGTGTGCATAGGAACCATGTAAACCATATTGTTGAAGTTTTAGCATTTTTTTTAAAGAAAATTAGATTTAAGAGACAAGATGCTTTCTCTTTCTCTTGACCTTTCTGTCATATGATTTGATCTGGTGGGCGCATCAGAATCAGATTCTTTTGCTAGGTTGAATGACTTGTGCGGGAGGCTATCTTAGCCCGGGGGGGGGGGGGGCAGCGGGAGTTGTTCTACTCCTGGGCGGGGTGGAGATAGTTAACATTTTCATGTCCTTTCTAATATTTTTCTTATTTTCTTGTATATGCTCTTTCTATGAGTTCATGCTCACTGCGGATTCTTTTTTGTTAATTTTTAGTACTGCTAGTTATTAGGCCAATATTTTGATGTTCCTATCTTTGATTCTTCAACTTCTTCAGGGTATGGACATGGCTATTTCGAAACTAAATCGAGGTGGGTGGGTTCACATTTTCCCAGAAGGTAGTCGCTCTCGTGATGGTGGAAAAACCATGGGATCTTCCAAAAGAGGAGTCGGGAGGTAGTTGTCCCTCTTTTTTTTTTTTTTGTAGTAAAGAGTTATTCTTGCATTTCCTTTTGCAAGTTGACTACTGTTGGCATTTTCTTACCGATGACATGTGGTGTGGTTATTCAAAAATACCTGGCAGATTGGTCGTCGATGCTGACAATGTCCCCATTGTTGTTCCATTTGTACATACTGGGATGCAGGAAATCATGCCTATTGGAGCCAATCTCCCAAGGATTGGAAAGACGGTATATAGTCTAGTGCTCATGTTGTTTTTATGTAGGCCAAGAGAGAGAAAGAAAGAAAGGAAGGGATAGTCTAGTGCTCATGTTGTTTTTATGTAGGCCAAGAGAGAGAAAGAAAGAAAGGAAGGGAAATTAAGAAAGAAAATAAATAGAAGAGGAATTTAGGAAGAAGGGATACTAATTGAGAGATGTGTATTCAATAATAATCATTAAGGTCTAAACTGAAATTACTATTAATAGGTCTATTTATCCTGGAATAAACCCTAGTAAGAAGATAAACCTAATATACTTATCACATAAACTTAAATAAATCACATACTTTAAGTTCCTAATTATTTTATATTGTTCCTCATTAATGTATGTCCTATTAATAAGTTAGAATTGACAATAGCGCATAGCTATGAAGCTGCAATTTTAAGTCATTTGAATGGCTTCATTTCCAGTTAAATCACTTCATAAGTAGATTTGGTCCTTAAACCTTTGAAGTAACTCTCTCCTGAATATGTTGTATAGAGAGTTTATGAAAGTTTAATTGGACAGTAGATTTTTACTCATTGCGTTAGTTGTGGACTATGTAGGTGATGGTACTTATTGGTGATCCTATCCGTTTTGATGATTTGCTTGATGCTGAAGGAGTCAAAGGCGAATTCACGGGAAGATTATATGATGCAGTAGCTTTGAGAATTGGTCATCGATTACATGAATTGAAAGTTCAGGTTGACCAGTTGGCTCTTCAACAACAAATAGAATCTCAAAACTATCAAGGCAGGAACACAGAACGAGCTGCTGTGATTCTGCAGCAGGTTGATTGGGAATTATTTGGCATGGGAAGCCCTACTTTTAATGACGATGAAGCATCGCCTGCACAAGAAATCCAAATCCAACGAAAGTTGGATGTAGCTCATCACCCACAAGAGCCAGTATCTTCTGACAGATATTTCCGAGTTGGACTCTCCCATGAGGAACGGATTGCGTCAAGAATGCAGAACTTCATGGACCCAACTGAGTTGATGGGTTTTGCGGCCAGAGGTTTATTCATGAATCATAAATTGGATAAAATTTCTAATTCTACCCCTCCTGCAGGGATTGGTCCCTTGCAAGTATGGAAGCAATTTTTAGAAGCTAATTTTCTACGACAATGGAAGTACTGCTAACCATGATACCCGCTAGAAGCTAATGTGAAATAGAATTTTGATTGTTCATAAATAAGAGAGAAGTTTTGATTTTGGCCTGAAGACTGATCGAGGCTGTTTAGCTGCTATGGTGCATAGAAAAATCACCGACACTTGGAGAGGTGAATGCTTTTGATAGGGACTGATCCTGTCCAATGTTGTTAGATTATTAATTACATTGTCTAATCTAATTAATTGGCATTTCAACTCCATCAATTATAATCCATCTCACAATTGGCATTCCAACAATCAGATCTCCCATGCAAGGTATATAATGCTTTTCAGAGGTCTGCAAAATGTAGAAATGTGGTGAACTGTATTGCCACATCCCACATGGAAAGAGGTCATTTGTTAATAAATTCTCATGCTTTTGAGATTTGATTAACCATGGCAAGGAAAAATGCTTAGAAAATCACCGCTATTGAGCACTATAGCTAATAAAAATTAGGTGTATTTACAAGTTTCATATTGTCGGATTCATTTTTCATGAGGACACGGTGTATAGACCGTTGATGTCTCCCAACACAATGATATACATTGTGAATTGGCACCACTCACTAGGACTAGGTGACATGAATGGTTGTTAAACAGCATTAAATACGTGGACTGTCGTTTCGTTGGGTTTGCATTCTGTTATGGTTGCGAATTTAAGCAAAGCCAGAGCAATAGTCTATAATGATAGGTAGTTATAGAAAGTAACTGAAAAAGGCACAAGGAAGGGTCTTGTTATACCTTTATTATGGTGCAGATGCCAGATGTAAAGTGCCCTTGTAACAAGGAAAATGCTTCTTATGGTATGTTCCTATCACTCACGTCGCCATTTTACACTTCTTTTGTCGTTTTTCTGTATGTTTTCTCTAAGGCGGGAAAAATATCTCCCTTTCTCCTTGAGAGGCAAAGACGAAGTGTAACTTATTCTCAAAAAAAAAAGAAAAAAAGAGACGTAACTTTGGGTTACAACTTGCGTGGAACCTCAATAAAAACCCATTGGTTAAATTTCTATTTTTAATTGTTAAATTAATTTGTTAACAGTTAGATTTATGTATATTTATATTAAAAATTTACAACGCGTCAGTTAGATTTATGTATATTTATATTAAAAATTTACAACGTATCAATTAAATCTATGTATATATATATTAAAAATTTATAACACGTTATACATAACTGTTTTTATTATAAATTTAACTGTTAAAAAATTAATCTAATAATTAAAAATGGAGTTCCATAGTGGAGGATTCTTTTTAAGTCTCACGGTAAATAAGACCCATAAATAAACAAAATGTTGAACACAAATACACAATCACCTTTACGATGTCTTCTCTTTGGTGGTTTAGTCTTCACTTTAATTTCATGGAAAAAGTATTTTATGAACAACCAGAACAAACGACAAAGGCCACCGCAGCAGTATGCCAAAAAATAAAGGAGAAGAAAATTGCTTAAAACGTCAAATAAAGAAAATTTGAATCGGTTCCTCTATATTCAAGATCGTCTTAAAATGAAAAATATTTTGAGTAGTCGCTACTTTTTTCACTAACAAAAACTCTAACACTCTAATGTTACAAAAGTTTTTACATCAAAAATCATGATAAGTTATTTTTGAGTCTTTTGACGATTGTGTTAAATCTGACGACCATAAATACCTCAACAACAAGGTAATAATTCTTACTGATGTATAGCATTCAGGTCCTAAGTACGTTAAATATATATAAAATAACGACCTCTATACTAACAAAATATATATATAATAACAACAATTAATAAAGTGATAACTATCTCTAATATTAAGGTCCCACACAAAGCAATCGCTTTATTGAAAGAAAGTCGTGCAATTCAACGGAAAGGATCACTCGAAGAATTGACTAAGGGACTTTTAAAAGAGGATTCATACTATAATTTGAATTATTATTCGTGATTCGTTATAATATTTTTTTTATAAAAAATACATATAAAATAAAAATAATTTTAAATTATAATTTTAAATTTATAAATCAAATATCTATCGTGAAAATTCATTACCCACCCATCAGAATTATTTTGGACTCACATTTCAAAGGCTTTACAGATCACTAACGGCAAGGCAGAGATCTCATGCGGTGAGAGCCTGCGAAATTCTTCTCTGACACTGACCGTCCGTGCTTGTGGTCCCAAAGATTTAACGGTTCAGATGTCTTAATTCGTTCGGTGTACATCAAGAACGGAGATTCATTTACATTGCTCCTTCTCTCTCTCTCTCTCTCTCCTCTTTCCCGAGTGTTCACTTCCATTCGAATCACAGAAGAGAGAGAGAGAGAGAGAGAGAGAGAGAGAGAGA